GAACGCGCGCCTGAGGGCAGAGCTGCTGGCCCTAAAGTTTCGCTTCGGCCTGGTGAAAGACCCCACGGACCCCCACCCTGCCCCTTTCTGCGGCCGCCGGACCCCAGACGCCCCGATATTACCTTCCCCGTCCCGATGGGGCCCACCCTCCCGGCTCGGCAGCCTCACCTCTGGCTCCTTCCACCCAGGGCTGCCTATACGCAGCGAGGGGCGGAGCCAGAGATGCAGGCAGCCTATCAGAGGATTCAGGCTTCTCCACGCCCGGTGGATCCAGCGTGGGCAGCCCCGTGTTTTTCGACGACCGCCTGAGCGACCATGGGAAATTGTCCCCCTCCTGCGGCCCAGACGAGGCGGGGGGTTTCGAGCCGCACCCGTCCTGTCCCCCCACAGTCGGGGAGCCCTGCCCCGGGGAGGGCATGAAGAGCCTGCCTCACAAGCTGCGGTTCAAGACGCCAGGCACCAGTGAGACTGCGGACGCCTCAGGGGACAGCCGGCGTAGCCCCATGCAGCCAATGGGAGGCCGGGATTCGGGCCGGAGCCACACGGGATTGGTGGGTGGGGAGGGGGCGTGTCACTGGCAGTACCCCCGCCAGGACCAGCACCACTACGCCCCACCCACCCCCCTACGGCCCCCCCGCTCCTCCACCACAGGGCCCCACGGACTCTCAGTGCCACATGGAGAACCACGCCCTCAAGTCCCAGCTGAGCTCCCTCAGCGAAGAAGTGGCCCAACTGAAGAAGCTGTTCTCCCAGCAGCTGCTCTCCAAGATGAGCTAAGATTACACAGACCAGAGCAGGGGGAGGTCAGGACAATTCAAGGGCCTCTAACTAACTGGGGCCTCTAAGAAATACTACAACATTGCATTTTTTTGGGGTGGAGGGGCCCTTTGTTACATCTATCCACTGGCCCCTCAGTCCCTAGTTGCACCCCTGGGACAGACACTACCTCTTCATACAGGAGGGCCTGGGACAGGAACTGTTTGCACATGAGCTGGTCCACTCTGCTATGAACGAAAGGACGAGAGAGAGGGAGAGAGAGAGAGAGACTGCAGTAAGGTCGTCTTAGATGTGGAGAGACGTCTGCACACATGACCTGAATCAGAGTCAACCTGCTATCATGAGCTTATATTTTAAACAAGTTTCACTTTGTTGCTTTCGGGGCGTCTTTGCTTTGCTTACGGTAAAAACGGTCACCTGTGTTTACTGGGCTGCACTGGGGTACCTAACAGTGGGATCAATGTGTTTCTTCAGAACGCTCCAGGCTCTCTCTTGAATAAATGTGCACATGCTCAGTGCCAAGAGGCTAGTCTGCTAGCACAGCACTGGTCCAGCTATCTCCCACTCTCTGCTTTACACTGTGAGGACTGGACACACACAAATACGTCTACACTCAGGATGTCCCTGCCAAGTACACGCAGGGCTTCTTCAAGGCTGTCTTCTTATGGGTCAAATGTTTTCTGAACAAACTGCACTCGTGTGGGCTTTACATTGGTATTCATACACATGGTTACAGTGCTGCATAAGTTATGCGTCGTGTGTAGTCGTGGGCTAAACCCAGATAACTTTGTTATACAATTTTGTGTTTATTGTACAATATACTGCAGATACTGCTATAATAAAATGAGAAGAATGATGTCCAATTATGGCCCCCTTATGACAGGAAGAGAGTTGTATTTTTTATCAAAGATATCATTAAACAGAAGCTTCACTTTCCACAGATAGGCCTCTAACCAGCCTCTGAATCAAATTTGTTGGTTTACAAATTATAATATAATAGTAAATTATAATGAAGTTCGAAAAGAACTCTCATATCATCATGCAGCCCGAAATTGGACTTTATTGTTCTCATTTTTAAACCACAAGATCGACGTTGTATTCCTCTCATTTCTCCTCATCTCTGTATTAACTGTGAGGTGGCAAAGCATGATGGGAGTCATTTCAGTGACATCACTTCCTGTGCGGTTTAGCACATGTCTGCAGACATATCAGGTACTACTATACTGTATACTCTACTCACAGTTTACAACAGTTGAAAAACAGGGGCATTAGAATCAATACAGGATCACTTCTTCGGCAATAACTTTGGTCTGCTGGGTCGGCTAGCTAGTTTAATGCGCAGTTGAATACAGGCAAAAAGGTCTGGTTAAGTTAGCCTTTCCAGCCTTTACGTGTCCAAACCCTAGCCACAACATCTCACTACCTTTTTTCCTTGATGAAGTGGAACAGTCGTCAGTAACCACTTGGAAGTTAGCAGGTAGTCTGGATGCGAGATTGTTGCATGGTATCATCATTCCACATTCCGCTGAAAAGCAGTTTCGCGGTCGTATGAGGACAGAGAACCTGTTTGACCATATGTTCACACGTACACAATACCGAGCAGCAGGTAGGGCACCCGAATTGAGAACATCTCTCTGGTTAAGACAGTAGAAATGAAAGCAGCACAGGAGCGTGTAGCTAACACAAAATGAGTGAGCTGATACAGCTAACTGCGCTAACACCGCTCAACCGCAATCAGTTCCTCGTGAATACAGGGCAACCGCCAACACTGTTAAATCCACAACACAAACTCAAGCCTCAGTTTCCTTCAGGTAATTTCCAATTAACATTCATAGTCATTAAGAACAGTATCTGCGATGCTGTGTCACACTGTACAAACTCATGAACTTGCAGGATTAAGTTTGCAACACTGAAAACATTGTGCTGTCAGTAACACAACAGCATGATTTGACACTACACGATCTGCTGCTTCCTACTGCCATTTTTGTTCAACACAGCGTTTTTTCCGCGGTAACTTTCTGTATTTTAATGTCCATTTACGCGACTGTTGCCACTGTTCAATACTGAAACGAAAACAGTTTATTTAATGCATTTTAAATATCATTACATTTTGATCATGCACTTGTCTTGTGAAAGAGTATGCAAATAATTGGTTTTATGTACTTGTTAATAAATGTTTCCCTTTTTTTGGAATATTGTTTGTTTCTGGTTTTTTATCAGCTCTGCTTGCGATAGAAAAATTCACTCATCCCCTCAGATCTACTGAAGCCTCCACTGAAAGCCACAGATGTGGGCATTGCTTTCCAAAATGGCCGCCTGCTGACTAAATAGAGCAATATAATCTATCCGACTACCCTGTTCATCACAAATAAGTCTCACATATTTATGAAAAAAATCTTATTTCCCAATGGATAGGAATCCCATACAGAAACTTCCAGGACATACAGTAGGTCACAGGGGTGGCATCGGGCCTAAATCTTGCCCCTGGGATTTCCAATGCTATTTACAATCAAAAGTGTTATTAATAACTGTGTGAGCTAGTTTCAAACTAATGACAATTCACAACGAAATTCCAAGAGCTGAATCAGCTCTAATTGAGTATTTGAGTACTTCATCACAATTGATGTCGCACTGACCATTGCCTTGTCCACTAATTGTAATTCAGCTCTACTTTTTGTTTAATATCAAATTCACTCTTAATTTGCGGGCTGGCTAAAAATAACGCCGAAATAACTTTTCAAAAAATGATAATTTAAATTAGCTGGTGCCGTTGAAAACCTACCATGTGGCGACTTGTTTAAAAGAGACAGCTTTGAATTTGATATCTCACATTGGTGAGTACCACTATTTGTATTTAGCGCTCTGAGGGTTAACTTGATTGCTCAATAGCAATTGTTTTTCTTTGGGGGGGGCAGTGAGAAGGTGCATCAAAGCATCACAGTTAGAAACTTTATGATTATATTACCAGTTGTAAACACTACCAGCAGAGGACAACCTTAAACAACTCTAGCAAATTAATCTGTCTGCTCCTTAATTCACACCATTACCTCTATTGCATGTAAGACATGGACTTGGGCCAAAGAGGCGCATGTGCATTTACCTCAGTCCTTCCTGTTTGCCTTGGAACAGAGTTTAAGGGCTCCATTTTAGTGGGTCGTTTCCTAGACCCTGCACTGTAGGCTTCACCCGTAAAGTATCTACTGACACATTCCACAAGACAATAAAACCATTTTAACTGGGCCCAGAAACAGGTACGGAATAGAATACAGAACTTGCTCCTGTGTTGAAAAGGGTGTGCATGTTATGCATAATTTCAGGGAAACGTTCCAGTAACAGAACTAACACGGTGCTGAATCCAGCCCATGTTTAAATATTCAGTGTGTTCTGGCTGCAGCGGGCGACAGGCGTGGCACGATTGAGGGTTGTGCGTTTTTGCATATACTACTAAACCCAGCCACCGCAATGCAAATGTTTTCAAGAACATATTTCACTGGACCGCTCAGGTGGAAAGAGAGAATGTGTTTATCAAGATTCAGCCATACAGCTGTTTTTTTCTAAGACCAAGACAATGCGTCAACCCAGTGCCAGCAATGTTCTGAGCTGGGCTACTACTGTCCCCAAAGATGCTACTAGAGCACCAGGGCAAGGATTGGAGATGAAGACCCAAATACAGGGACGTGGAATTTATTCAACAAATGTGAATATAACAAAACAAATACAGAAGGTGAGCTGCTTTGAAAGGACGCAGAGTCGCAGAGTACAGTACAATGCCTCGTGTTTGAGGTGTCCCAGAGAAGCCATTAACTACAGTGAATGGGTTTTGCTGTTGAGCCCTTGAGAGCAAAATGTTCAGAGTTAATTCAACTCTTAGAGAGGCTATTAGAGTCCACTTTTTTGGAGCGGAGTAACATAGAGTCCTTAAGAGTTTATTTAACTCTGTATCCTCCAATATTTTGCTGTATCCACCTGGAGATTATCCACCTTCGGTTAAGATAAGACTAAGAGTACCTTTGAAGATCACAAAATTATACGCAGAGAGAGGATGATAAGAGAGAGAGAAGGAGTCAGGATACTGTGAATGAGAGACAGGGACACACTCCGGACAGCTCCCTAATCCATCGCAATGCACACACACCATTCACTCACATCTATGGGTGATTTAGAGTCTCCAATAAGCCTGACTAATGCAAACATGGGAATAACAGGCAAAATCCGCTAAGAAAAGCCCCACGTTGGATTCAAACCCACAACTTTCTTGTTAAGAGACAGAAGTGCCACTCACTGCACCACTGTGCCACCCTACACTAGTATGGTTAACATGAGATAGATTGCACAACCAATACGAAGCTTGAAAGACTCCTGTACGAGCAAATACAAAGACAAACTACAAAAATACCGAAATCGCCTCCAAATCGAACACTCAGTCCCACATTAACGTTTTCATCTGCAGCTCATCATTTTTGGATTCCTTCTTCAAACTCCCACCGCTCCTCTCAAGACGCTCTATTTTGAGGCCTCGCATTCACCATTAACCACCAGAGGGCAGCAACGTTCACAAATAGTTTGTAATTGTAAAAATCAGGATTACGCGTCGTTTCGCAATGAGTCACGTTGATGACAAGTTTGTGTTGATAAGACAAAAGGCTACATTCTCCACAACTACCCAGCTAACCTAAGGTATTTAATAAGCACACTAGGATTGGTATAGTGAGAGCAAAACCATACAACTCTTCTTCACAACTGTTTGTTTCATGAATGCCTATACAAGAGTTCACTGCAGTCAGACCTCCTTCCCAGCTGCAGTGATTGACATAATGAGCCAGGAAAAAAAATCTCCAAGATAATTATCTTTTAATTTAATCATCTGATTAATTAGTCAGATCCCACGTCAAAACATGACCTTCAAGCCCCACGGGTCTCAGCAAACATTGCAGAATTTACAAGATATCAAAGCCAGAGGACAGAGGAGGGCGAAGACATGAGGCAAATTATAAAAGCAGATACCAATTTCCCATTGCTGGCCAGCAGCATCCCCTCAATCGCCCACACAAGGGACAGCTTTTCTCCATCTACAGAATGGCAGTGGTCACGCTAGCCTCTGCTCACTCCTCTAAGAGTGGCAGGGCACTTTGGTACACTCACAGTGGAGCTCCTGGTTGGGAGACGGAATGAAGTTCTGCTTGGCTGCGCCAGCCGGAGGTAAACCTTACTCAGTTGACATGGATTTCTAAGACACGCACATATCAACCATTTGCCCCCCCCAAACCCCCCCATTTCTTCAGTGCACGAGAAAGCCTGTTGCTAGGCAGGAAGCATGGCTGTTGCCATGGGAACCCTCGCATGCGGACACAGCTGGGAGGGAGGGAGGGAGGGAGGGAGGGAGGGATGGGGGAAAGAGTGGGAAGGGAGGAGGGGGGGGGGAGGGATGGGGGGTGCAGCAAGTTCAAGGGCAGAATTTTACCTCCTTTCAATTCATCAGCCAGAAAACAAAGAAGAAAGAGGGAGGGGGGAGAGAGAGAGAGAGAGAAAGAAAGAGCAAAAAAGAGTGAGAAAGAGATAGTGGATTGAGTGTTGAGCGTTCCTCCATTTTAGTTTTTCTCCCCAGTTCCTCCAGTGTGTGGATGCAGATGGAGGGACCTCATCTAACGCACAGAGTGCATTATCCAGTATGGAAAGAATGCAGGTGACTCATGTAATCCTGCGAGTGCTGGAACTGAGATCCCATACTGGACATTCCTGGCATTCACCACACTCATTTTCTCTAAAGGAAAATATAACATGTAAAGGCAAAATGCAGCCACATACACATGCACATGCGCTGTTACATGCAGAAATGCAGGCAAAGTTATATCAGTCTGAATACAATGCAATTTTACCACAATTCACAGTCTAAAAAACCTTACAGCCTTTTACATCCCAGCAGTTTAATAATTCCACTGTACGACACAGGAGTCCAAAGAGCTGAAACTTATACTATGAGAGACATTTCAAAATAATTTTGTGCATTGTTTAAATAAATATTAACATTTTTGAAAAAAAATTCATTTTGATCAGTTTGTGCCACCTATTACAAATCAATTACATTGAAAAAAGTTCCAACTAAAAACAAGTTTTACCCATAGAGCACTGAAATAAATTTTTTAAAAAGATAAATTTAATTATCGTGTGATGTTGAAAACCTATCATGTGGCTCCCCCGCGGAAGCTCTTTTAAACAAGTCGCCACACATGATAGGTTTTCAACAACTTTGATTTCGATATCTTACATCATTGAGCAACAATAGCATTTAGCGCTCTGAGGGTTAAATTGCTGAGTAAATAATCGCCACATTTTAAAATCTAAAATTTAAATTTAAAAATGTATTTGCTCAAGGACACGGTAGAATATTGGAGGGCCTGAGTCGAGTAATTTTGACCAGCTAATGACACAAGTTTTGCTTCATGCAACAGGAAAAAAAGCGAAGTTCTGCCAACGTTGACCGTCCACGCAAAAACACAAAATGATTAATGTTCGTTTGGGATGAAGGCGTCGTGACCACTGGGGGGTTGAGGTCAAAGGGTCAAGTGGTAAAGTTGATGGGAAAAGGGAAAGAGCCGATCCGAACACTCACACCAATCGTAAATTCCATCACAGAGGGTAAGAAGGGGGTGAGGACTGTGTGCGCTGTAAACACATAGCCATACGTAGACCCACCACCGTCACTTAGCGTTCACCACCTGAGACCGAATAGGCCCGCCTGTTTCTGTCCTCAAGTGTGGTAGAATTAACCCTTAGAGAACTATACACAACTAAGATCGCTCAATGACATAAGATATCAAAATCAAAGCTGTTGAAAACCTATCATGTGGCGACTTGTTTAAAAGAGCTCCCCTGCAGTCGCCACATGATAGGTTTTCAACAGCACAAGATAATAAAATTTATATATTTTTTTAAATTTATTTCAGTGCTCTAGGGGTTAAGGAACAAAGTGGGGAAGGGAGGATCGGGCCCATATATGGCTGTAACTAAAGCCAGGTAGCTCTATAACTCCGGTTCACTAAATTAAACATCACGTATATTGGCACTTTGTAGCCTTTTGCATCATACACTTTTCCCTGGTTTGTCAATAATTCCAGCAGTCAAATTTGGACCGCTCTCACTCTCAAGAATGAAATTCCCTCATAATTTCCAACCAAAAAAATAATCGCAATTCTACCACTTACAAGAACCAAACAGGTAAAACAACCAATTCAACAAATTAACTCAATCTCCATCCAAATAGTAATACTTTCAGTATGATATCACAAAAATATTTAGCAAATAAAATAATGTTTCCACTACATGTAGGCATTTGTTGTATCAAAATGAGTATTCAATATAAATCTTCAGATCCTTGTTACACACTGTGAGTAACTGACGTCCCCAACACGAAGCTGTATGATTCAAAGCATAACCACTTTTTTTGGATAATTGTTTTCACAAAACATGAATAAATGAGATTTGAGTGAGAGGCCTACTTTTGAAGACACCACATCATCTGCACAGAAAATCCATCCGCTAATGAAAGAAAACACAAAGAAACAAGGCAGCCTTAAGTACATCGATCACTCCAGTTTTCATCATTCATTCAGCCTTGAACATCGATTCATTCCACGCGCGGACGCATTAATTCCTCGCTCCGTCAAACCGAAAACAAGGAAACCGATCGGTGTCACTGAGACAGCAACAAAACAAATTCAACAATTAAATTTATTTTTACAAAGGAAAAATGATATGAAAAGCAAAATATAATGGAGGAAAATGTTAAAAGAACTAAATAACTCGGTCGCCACAGGGACCGAGTCGCGTATCTCCCCGATCCCCAAATTTCAGACAAAATGGCCACTGGCAGCCATGTTGGACTTCCGAAATTCGCAAAAATCAGTCTTGAGCATTGTCCAATCAATATCTTCCCCTGTGTGAAATTTGGAGAAATTCCTGTAATAATTGTGGCTTCCAAAGCCCGGAACAGAAAATCTCTGCGGCGGCAGCGGCAGCCCGAGAACTAAACCATAGTATCTCCCGACTATCGTCGTCGGGGAGATACAATAACTGCTTTCAGAGTAATTTAATTCACAGAGAGCTCTACAGAAAACTACGTCAGTCTTCCTCAAACTCATTCTACATACTATTGTGAATGAGAAATTATGAAACACAGTATCTTGTGAGCCAGTGCCACAAAATATTTACAAGCAATAGACGTAAATTTGTTCTTCATTTTATGAACTGGTTATTGTAGCAATATCCCCAAACAGTGACAAAGCAGTTTATGGTTTCCAGTGAATAGAGTTTATCACTTCCTAAGAAGCCATTTGCAACTTCCATATGAAATATGCCCAAGTTCTGCATTTACACTTCCTGTTTCTGTGGCGTACACGACATGCTTGTAAATGCCCTGAGCATGTGAGAGTGGTTAATTTTAGGCTACAAATTAACACAGATGGACAGTGGGCTCAGGCAGTACACCAGGAAGGGAGTGGCAAATTAGAATATTGGATGTGACACTGGGGTCATACCTGTTGCCATGGTAGGCCACTTAATCTGTACTGTAACAAGAATGAAATTCCAACTTATAAAATAATGCTGTATGTGAAAATGCAATCCATTGTAACGGTACAAAATTAGCAGATAAATAGCAGTCCGATGAAACAGCTGCAGCGCTACTCCAATCATTATGCAATAAACTGCAAGACTGACAGGATACCAGCTTATTGTCGTGTATTTGAAATTTAAGGTCCCCTACCATTTCACCAGATGCGCAGCCAGTTAGCCATAACGAACCATTTCAAAATCTGGTCCTTCTTGACATCACATGGGGAAGCAACCGCCCAAAGGCAAGAGGTACTGATCAACTTCAACCAACCAGTTAATCAGCTCTTTCGATATTCTGGGGGGTCACTCCCCCTTGAGATTTTAGGAAGGACAGATTTTGAAATGGCTCGTAATGGCTAATTGGCTGTGTGCCTGGTGACATAATAGGGGACCTTTTAAAATAACGGAAAATGTGAAATTCCAGTCTTGCCGAGGGCATCCTTCAGCTAATCAATAGGCTTAACACCCTCTTCGGGGCATCGATGTTACGCTCCCCACGCAATAGGTTATAAAACCTCACTTTCTTTTGCATATCGTCAGCTGTCGGCATGTTTCTAAAAACGTCTCCCTCTTTTCCTCTCGCACTCTCTCCCTATTCGTCTCCCTGTGCCCTACATCTGAGTTGGCCAGGCTTTATGCTGATACTACAATCCCTTGCCCCCTCCCCCCCTCGTCACATTTCGTCG